CACAACCACTCCGATAGAGGAAGAGATTATTAAATGTAGACACAGATTAAAATGCCACAACAATGTGGAATTAAGTACTTTTACTTAACTAAAGGATCTAAATAACTTCTCCACCTCTGGCTATGCTCCGGATGTTTCTTCCCGCAGGTGAACTACTCATGACAAGTTCTCTTTGGATCACCTTTCAACACGCTGATGGGTGTATCCATCTACTACGTCTCCTTCACCCTCCGTGGTGCTGTCCCACCTCCATCATCCTCCTTCCAGGAGTGGAGGAGCATGAGCCCGTAGACGTGTGGACAACGCTGGGGATCTTGCCTGGTGATCGTTGGTGGGCCGGTCGCCATGCTCCACTCTTTCAAGAGCCTGCAAAGGTGTGTGTCCACGCCCCACATTAAGCCTCCTTTAGCTTACGGTGGTGACGTGAAGTCATGTGACCGTGTGCAGAGTCCTGCATCGTGTCCCGGGTACCCGCGGGTCCTCAGCTCTCCCCCGTCGGGACCGCGTATATAATCACCTAACTTCTGCAGCGCATCAATCTGCTGCTGAGCGCGCCCACATTCGAATGGCTGAGGTGAAGCCTCTCTAGTGGAGAATAACAGCATTTTTCAATAACACTTCCTCAAGGCGAAATTCCAACGTCTGGGATATATTCCTTTATACCCAACATTTAGCCCTCCTTAGCTTAGCGGTGGTGAACGTGAAGTCATGTGACTGCCTGTAGTTCCTTTATAGCCCAACATTAGCCTGCCTTTAGCTTAGCGTGGGAAGTGAAGGTCATGTTACCATGCTGTAGTTTCCTTTATAGCCCAACATTAGCCCTCCTTTAGCTTACGGGTGGTGACGTGAAGTCATGTGACGTGCTGTTAGTTCCTTTATAGCCCAACATTAGCCACCCTTTAGCTTAGCGGTGGTGACGTGAAGTCATGTGACCGTGCTGTAGTTCCCTTTATAGCCCAACATTAGCCTCCTTCCTTTAGCCTAGCGTGGTGAACGTGAAGTCATGTGAACCCAGTGCTGTAGTGTCCTTTATAGGCCCAACATTAGCCGCCTTTAGCTTAGCGGTGGTGACGTGAAAGTCATGTGGACCGTGCCTGTGTTCCTTATTGCCAACATTAGCCGCCATGAGCAAGAAAACAATCTAAATGGCTATAAAAATATATATATTTAGACATTTTTTTGTATCTTGAAGTGAACACAACTAATGCTTACTATTAGAGAAAACAAATGTGTTTTGTTAATTTATGTCCTTTTAACCGCCTTCCGTGCACCATGAAGCAGCTGACAATCAAGCTTTCGGCTCCGGTGAAAAGGAGGGCGGGGCTTGCAGAGGAGGTTTCAGCAATGCAGCAGCAGCAGCAGCAGCAGCAGCAGCAGCAGCAGCAGCAGTAAGCCAGGAATAAAGAACGGAGGATACAATACGGACTGATGGACAACATGGTGGATCCGAGAGTCTTCCTCCCATGAGAGACGGAGCGACCCGAGAGTCTTCAATCATCAGCTGAAACTAAAGAAGAAGAGACAGGTTTCGGTTTTCCTGTCTGGATTTGTTTTCTCTTCAACTGATTTTAATCTATGTGGGCTTTTATTTTAAATGTTAGTCATAAGTTCACCATGGCATGTCCATTATGGACAAATCACATGTGCCTCGGTGATCCTGAACCAGAGAGAAGCTACATCACACTGAGTCCACTCATGCGTATAACGATGGGATGTTTAAACAAATATATGTAAACACATTAAATCGGTCCTTCAACTATGATTTTTGGAATGTGTTTACATTATATTGTTTTAAACATCCCTCGTTAGACGCATGAAAGTGACACTTCAGTGTGATGTAGCTTCTCTGGTTCAGGACCCGAGACAATGTGAGGTTGTTCCATGTAATGACATGCATGTGAACGTATGACTACATTTAAATAGCCACATTAGATATTAAATCAGTCGAAGAAATACAAAATCCAGACAGGAAACCGAAACCTGTCTCCTTCTTCTTTAGTTTCAGCTGATGATGAAGATCTCGGTCCTTCCTTTCATGGGAGGAAGACTCTCGATCACCATGTTGTCCATCAGTCCGTATTATATCCTCCTTCTTATTCCTGCTTACTGCTGCTGCTGCTGCCCTGCTCTGCTGCTGCTGCCTGTGCTGTGCATTGGCTGAAACCTCCTCTGCAGCCCCGCCCGTCTCCGACCGGAGCCCGAAGCTGTTGGGGTCACGCTGCTTCATGGTGCACTGGAGGCGGTTAAAAGGAATAAAATTAACAAACACATTTGTTTTCTTCTAATAGTAAATGGCATTAGTTGTGTTAAATTCAGATACAAAATGTTTAAATATATATATTTTTTATAGCCATTTAGATTGTTTCTGCTCATGGCGGCCTAATGTTGGCAATAAAGGAACTACAGCAACGGTCACATGACTTCCACGTCGACACCGCTAAGCTAAAGGAGGCTAATGTTGGGCTATAAAGGAACTACAGCACGGTCACATGACTTCACGTCACCACCGCTAAGCTAACTAATGTTGGGCTATAAAGGAACTACAGCACGGTCACATGACTTCACGTCACCACCGCTAAGCTAAAGGCGGCTAATGTTGGGCTATAAAGGAACTACAGCACGGTCACATGACTTCACGTCACCACCGCTAAGCTAAAGGAGGCTAATGTTGGGCTATAAAGGAACTACAGCACGGTCACATGACTTCACGTCACCACCGCTAAGCTAAAGGAGGCTAATGTTGGGCTATAAAGGAACTACAGCACGGTCACATGACTTCACGTCACCACCGCTAAGCTAAAGGAGGCTAATGTTGGGCTATAAAGGAATATATCCCAGACGTTGGATTTCGCTCTTGAGGAAGTGTTATTGAAAATGCTGTATTCTCCGCTAGAGAGCTTCACCTCAGCCATTTCGAATGTGGCGCGCTCAGCAGCAGATTGATGCGCTGCAGAAGTTATGATTATATGCGCGGTCCCACGGGGGAGAGGTCTGAGGACCCGCGGGTACCCGACACGATGCAGGACTCTGCAGCACGGTCACATGACTTCACGTCACCACCGTTAAGCTAAAGGAGGCTAATGTGGGGCGTGGACACACACCTGCAGCTCTTTGAAGAAGTGGAGCATGGCGACGCCCACCACGATCACCAGGAAGGATCCCAGCGTTGTCACCACGTCTACGGGCTTCATGCTCCTCCACTCCTGGAAGAGGATGATGGAGGTGGACAGCACCACGGAGGTGAAGAGGACGTAGTAGATGGGATACACCATCAGCGTGTTGAAGGTGTCCAGAGACTTGTTCAGGTAGTTCACCTGCGGGAAGAAACATCCGGAGCATAGCCAGAGGTGGAAGAAGTATTTAGATCCTTTAGTTAAGTAAAAGTACTAATTCCACATTGTTGTGGCATTTTAATCTGTGTCTACATTTAATAATCTCTTTCCTCTATCGGGGTTGTGGGTTATGACGCGCCTCTCTTTGCTTTCAAACTAATTTTGCGGAGATCGTTGAATCACATCAGATTTATTCTTTGATCATGGCGGCATACAAACATGAGGATAAACGTCCTCGCTTCAAAGTAACTAAAAGTTCTCCGTATCAAAATAGAACAAAAGGAACACGGCCAAAAGACTCTACCGCTTCCCGTCTAGTCACACACTCAGCTGTGAACCATTGTCATGCCATATATAGAAATAAAGACATGCACGTTGTACCCGACAGCAAATAAGTGAGACTTAAATGAACATCTTTTAAGTTTGAGTTTGAGTGACTCACCAAAATAAATAGTTAAGAGTTTAGTCTAAAGCCAAACATTCAAACCATGATGATGAGAGGAAAATGGCTCAAACACACATTAAAATACAGAAAATGCACAAATGAACTTTGGAGCTCACCTGTGTTACGATAGAGACGATGAGCGTCACCAGCAGGATCCACGTGAGAGGGTTCTTCAGCACGGAAACATCACCAACCACTAGAGAGAGGAGAAGGGAGAGGATGACGCATGTTTTAAAATCAAAGCATTTAACTTCGTCTTATTTTACAATATTTCATTTCATATTCTGTTCTTGTATATCTCATATATCTACATGTATATCGACTTTTTGCATTACTTTTTATTTTGTATTTTATAATATATGTTGCATTGTTGGAGGAGCTCCGGTCAGTTCTACTCTGTAGCTTTGAGGTGACGATAAAGCCTTAGTTCAAATTGATGCAGCAGAAACGGAGAGATGGTGTTTCTGTATTCTGTTATTTCACCGGTGTTGATGGCGATGGCGAGGCCCTTCACGGAGGCGACGGTGAACGCCCCGAGCAGCGAGCAGACGCTGATGTACACGAGGATGTTGGAGCGACCGACCCGAGGAGAGAAATAGAAAACGAGCACCGAACACAGCAGCAGCACCGCCGACAAGTACACCAGGAAACCTGCCGAGGAGAAATAAGGACGTGTTATTAAATACAATAAATATGTGAATCTTTTATGGATATAACAGCCGGCGACTCTCTGTTTGCCAAATGTTGTTTACATTTGACCATGTTTCTTGTTTTGACTTGTTGTAACTTAACAATACATAAAAGCCCTTTTAAGATTCAACATGTTGGAGTCACATGTTCAGAATGATACCACTTTAAAGTCTGTAATCTAAGTAAGTTAGCTTTGGTTTCTCAACATTGAATTGGTTTTGTTAGAGCCAATGTTTTGTTTTATAAAAGGAGCAACCTAATTGACGTATGTAGTCAAGATAGTATAAATGACTATAACTCCAAGGCTCTAAAGCAGGGGTGTCAAACTAAAGGCCCGGGGGCCAAATCCGGCCCGTGACTTCATTTTCTGTGGCCCCACAAGAGCTTGCAAAGAATATAATATGTTTATTAT